ATGGTTGTCTCCCGACAATAACTACATCTCCTTATCAATAGTTAAGGTGACTCACCGTCCTCCTGACACCCCGATATCTCCACTCCTGCTCTATTCTTCCAGGCGGTTTGGACCTCCCCATTGTCATGGTTGGGTATTCCTCCTGGTTGGAGTGCCTTCAGGATGCAAGGTGGCAAGGGGGTCCTGTCTTGTTGCAACAGACTCTTCCAGAATCCAATTCCAGATCCTGATTGCTGGCAAGTGCAGGGCTCTAAGGAAACTCAGGATGTCCTCCTGCCAGTGGGCTGACACCCATGCGTTACCTTGTTTTGTTTGTATATTGTAGGGGAAACCCCAGCGTTATTGGATTCTCTTTTCACGGAGGATGCTCGTAATGGGGCATAGGGCTCTTCTGGTGTCAAGTGTTAGAGTAGAGAGATCCTGATACAGGGAAACTTCTGTGTCACGGAACTTGAGGGCAGGCATCCCTCTAGTGGCAACCATTATTTTATCTTTTAGGCTGCAAGTTTGCAGGCAGCACACCACATCCCTTGGGCTACCATCCTGTGTCGCCGGGCCCGTAGCACTGTGTGCCTGTTCAAATCCAATATTGCAGGGGTGTCTGCACCCAGTATTTGTTGAAATAGTGCCTCCAGAGTGATGGCAAGCGGGGCAACGTTTGTTTCAGGCAGACAGCGGACATTATTGCGCCTGCTCCTGTTTTCAAGATCTTCCACCTGTCTCCAGAGAGTAAGCAGCATGTTGCCCTGTATAGTGACTGCTATTTCAGTTGCCCTGTGTTGTTGAGAGCAGTCTTGGGCTGAGGTCTCCATCTCATCCACTCTCTGCTCCAGCGAGTTCTGGTCAGTCCGTAGGCCAGTGTGACGAAACGCCTTTTGTCACCGGATTTTCCCCTGGCTGTTGGAGGAGCCTGATTGCCAGCCTCTTGCCTCATGACTATGGCCCTGGGTTATTTGGCCCTTCAAGTACAATATTTGGGCATATTGGATTTGTATGGTGCTGCTGCAGCCCCTTTAAAAACCATCCCTGGACATATTATGACTTTTAAGAACAATGTCCCTTTAAGACTGTGTAGCAGATTACATTCAGGCGGTCTGCAATATTATATATGCTATTATGTGTTCGGTAAATTGTAAATGTGTAGGTTCTATGTGATAAATGTAACAGTATGTATTTTTATGCCTTTTGTTGTCCTTTGTCTGCCATGTGGCTAATGGAGTTTTGCCTCTGTCCTTGGAGATAATTGCATTACTTCTCAATTATCTCCAGGATAGAAGACTCTGAAACCAGTTTGGGCCAGATATCCGTGCTGCCAGCCATGCCCCAAAAGATACTTGTGCTAACTTCTGAACCCCTGGTCTGATTCATGACATTTTTTAATATGTTGTTCCCCTGAATGGATTGATTGTGAATATGTAATTTTATGTGAATGTGATGTAAAGTTTTAGAGTTATGAAAGTTGGGTAAAAAGTGTGTTTTAAAATGTATGGATAATTGGGTTACCTCTCAGGCTAAGGGGAGGAGATGTGTGGGATGTAACCATTGTGTGATTGGTTGTACTGTGTCCCACCCTGTGGGATGTCCCCTTGCATGGGGACCTGCATAAAAGAAGGTTCTTTGTGTGCCAATAAACAGATCATCTTGTACCTTCATGAAGTTTCGGCTCATGTTTGGGGGATTGGAGAAACTACAATCTGGGGATTGCTATAATCACTATACTCCCCAAGGTACAATCACTAAGCTCTGCTAAGAGCTTGTTCCTGTTCCTGCTCTCTGGAATTCGGAGAGAGGTCGACCTGCTGGAAGCTGGACCCTGGTTCTGGGTCCAGAGTGGGTGGAGACGGCGAGACCCCAACCAAGCTGCGGCGGTTCGTGGGGTCTGCAGTGGTTATGGTGTCAGGCAAAGTGCTTGGAGTCCTCGGAAAGCACTAGGAGCATCCGTCGGCGGAAGGTACCCGGCCGGGGTGCCAGCGGTTCCGTTACAGCCAGCAACTTCCTCAATGTGCTGCTCGGAGCCCCTGCACTAAAGAGCCCATGTAAGTTTTAGAGAGCATCCACGCCGAGATCTGGGCCAGTTCAGCTCTAAATTAGGGTTAGCTCTCCCGTAGAATCACCCTCCGCCTTGGTTTCTCCCACACTCTCCCCATCCGGGGATGTGGGCATCATCTTGTCTTCAAGCTGCGGGTCTCTCAGTTTAGACGGTGTAGCCACAAAATCATACATCTGGCCCGTGTAGCGGCAGGGGGAGCCTGCCGCAGCAGTCCCATTTTGGACCATCGTTGTCCACCAGTGTGCTTCAGGGATGCGGAGCTCGTTCACCATGCGTCCTGCACCATGTTCGTCCAGGTCACGCCGCCGATTTTGTTTTTTATGCTATAAATAAAAGCTACGTTTTATTTTTTGGATTAAGGCCTTGGAGTGCGGTCCTCTACCAGAGTTTGAGGGTACTACGCAGTAACATCTTACATCCCACCAGGAATCTTGAAGCCGCTCCCCCAACTTGGGATTCACAGCCCAAAGTGGGCTATATCTGAAGAAAATATCCCTTCAATTAGTGTTAATAGTGGGTATCTTTTGAAAAAAAAAATACCACGCACACAGCCTATCTGCTTTAATTCACTAAATACTGAAAATGTTTTACTGAATTTTTTTTCCAAAGCTTTTTGCCCAACTTTTGCAATCCAATTTTAATTCATTACAATTTGGTGTTTGGTGAATAATCCCCTGTGTAAAGTAATCATGGTTTTAAAAGACTATATTTAGCATTTATTTTGGCAGATAGAATGTCAGGTTTAGTAAAATCCTGTAAAAAAAAAAAAAAAAAGATATGATTTGGAAAAAGGTTTTTGGTTTAATGGTGGTTTAATAACAATAAGTATGGAAATGGGGAATTTTTAGTAAGAAATAACACATTGAAATGATAAACTGGGAAATGATTCAACTAGGGGTACAAGACGAAGATAAGAAATATAACTAGAATTGTATGGCTGGCAAAATAAAGATCAGTAATTGGTGTGGCGGAACCAACCTCGCCACTGGACATTGGAGAAGCCTGTTTGCTCACCTCCTGCCCCTGGACTATGACCCCATGTTAAAAACTGGTATTCTCCCCTGCAGAAAGGCTTGTTCGTGCCTTTCTGCCTGGGCGTTCGGTAGATTGAATCTACCGAACAAACAGACGAATGACCGACCACCTGGGAATGGAGTGTGCCGTCAGAAGCTGTGGTTAACTGCAGCTTAATGGACGAATGCTGGGTGGCCTTTGGTCGTTTGCTGAACATGTGGCAACGGCCATTTTTAACTCCCGAAAGGCCAGCGGTGTTCAGCTCCAAATCTATGGAACTCAAACGGACACTATTTGCACGAACACCGCTGAGCCGCCGACCTTCCTTCTCCTTCAATTCATGCAAACGCCGTCTATTTGGTACTTTGACTTAGTGAACCATGCTTCCCCAGATAGCTATGCCATGGAGCCCATTCGTGAAACAAAAGACAAGGTGAATGAGCGCCATTCGGTAATGATTTGCGCTCAGATCTAAGATATATGGGGATGTGTTGAATGTACCAGTTTTCTGCAATAGCCGCACAGTTATAGATTTTTGTGTAATTTTATGTCTTTTTGTCACCACGTGGGTAATGGAGTTTCGCCTCTGTCCTTGGAGATAATTGGATTACTTCCCAATTATCTCCAGGATAGAGAGGAGGGATTTTGATGTAATTGTGGGAGTGTTTAAAGGTGTATGTCTGTGATTGGTCAGTGTATATTTTGTGTCCCAGTCTTCCATCTGGTCCCCGAAGGGAGTGTCCACCAGGTGGGAGACCTGCATAAAAGCCAGGCAGGTAGCACCAGTAAACCAGATTCTGCTTGACCCTCCAAACGAAGTGTCGTCTCATTCTTGGGGGGAATTTGATTCTATGCTGTTACAGTTCGAATGCCAGGAGCGTAAGCTGTTCGTATGGTTTTTTCCTCTTCGGCTGTTTACAGCATTCGTGTGTTTCCTGTTCTGGAAATTGGAGTATTCATGTGTTTACAGTTCGGGAGATTGGAGCTTGCAGTAGCTGCTCGTTTATCTGGAAGGGGAATATCGCCTAAACGGATTTTACCCCTTGTGTGCCTTGGGGATCCGTTACAATTGGTATTTGTGCTGCCAGACTTTAAGGAAAAATTGGTATGTAAATAACTGTCAGGTTATTATAATCAGTCAGCACTCCGAGAAGTCAAAATATATCCTTAATCTCTAAAATACCAGGTATTATTGTGGTGTCTTCCAACAGCATGCAAATGTGAATGACTTGTGATCATTCAAATGGCTTGGCCATTATGTTATACCTGCAGTTGTAGAGACAGAGACTCACAGTATTGCCCTCAATGTCCACAAGTATCCAAGATACTCCTGGACAACAAGCAATTTCTCATGGAAATTAAGATTTAGTCAGTGCAACATCACACAGAGAGCAACAGCATTTTGGACTATGTTGCTCCAACCAGTGGGGACTCATTAAAATAGAAAGGAATAGAACTCCCAAATATTGAAACTATGGTGTTTTAAAATGGTCTATCAAACACTCACTTCCAATGCCAACCTACTTATGGAAGCCCTGTCAGCACTAGCACGGTTAGTCAGGAACTTTATTTAATGGCTTTCCATTTCTGAACAGCAACACAAAAGACTATATACAAATCCAAATGTGGGTATAAGCAACCTTCTCTTGAAAGAGAAGTCACCTTTTACCATTTAACAGTCAGAAGAACCACTTTATCCTTGGAGGATTCAGTGAGAACACTTCTTGTCAGATTGCTTAATTCCTTTAGATAAGTGAAGGATGAATAATGGTTTGGGCTGGTTTTCATTGCTTTACTTGACCTTGTATTTTCACTGAAGGTACATAATGCAATAGCTCACAATGACATTCAAGATATTTTTGAGCGTTGAGGTTTGGGTTAAGAGTATGAAAAAAGCTTTTTCTTGTATCAGAATGACAAGAATACTGTGCACACAGTGAGACTTACAGAAAAATAGATTTCTGACAGCGTGTAAACATATTTATAATATTTACTAATGTTCCTATAACTGAGTAAAAAGTGTAAAATCCCAGGGGCAGAGTCTAGCAGCCAAGCAGCCCAGACGTGGTCACCACGAGCTCCCACGTCTGAAGACAAATATAGGGGTTCCTAACTCAGCAACCCACACGCACAGACCGCAGCTTCCACTGACTGAAATTGGGAGAGGCTTCTGCACCAGACGGTACCTTTCCCGGAGGCCTAAGACACTGGACTGACATACCCGAGGCTTGCGGCATATACACGGCTGAGTCACGGAGAGGCGGCCGCTCTCCAGGCTCTTAAGCTACATCTGAGACCCCAGTGAAACATTTCCCCTCCCCTCATCCTGGTCCCCACCGACCAGTTCCACCCACCTCGCTGACCGCTAACAACCACTGCTGCAAGGGACCAAGCTCAAACACTCCTCCTCAAGATGGCGGTCGTACCTTCCCCAAGCAACATGTGGCAAAAGCCGGCAGAGTCAGATGGGTGCACTACACTAGACCTAATTCTGAAGCACCTGGATGAGACACTCGGCTGTTTCTGAGGCAAATGGAGGTACGAGCGGCAGCAGCAAATGGGGGACAGAGAAGCAATGCGAGGAGGGCGGGAGATGGGGTGAGTGAACCCCTGTCAGGCGAAACCTTCCACCAAGCACCTACGCCTCACACAACAAGCCCATCTGGACCGAAGGCCAACAGGGATCCCCTTCCCAATCATCACCCACAGAGAAGGAAGCACAGACCCCACAAGCGATGATTGTCAATCCAGATCTTCTAACCCGAAAACGGGACACCTGGTCCATGGAAAAGAGATGCAGGCACTACCCAGTACAGCCTACAGATTGCCGCCCAGTGATTCCAAGCCATGGCATCGGTTGACACCGGACTCTTTACCCGAGGCTGGCTGAAGCTTACCCTCATGCCCTGAGGACGCACTCTATGCTAATAATATGCTACACCCTGGTTGCAGAAATAAGGCCCGTACCTTTTTGTAAAAATGCGTACCGCTGCAATGTCCCCAGATAAACCCCTCGAGAGAGTGACCACCTGTCAAAATGCGTAACACCATTAGCCCCCTTGCAGCCTCATTGCCCAATTAAGCCCTGTACATACCTCTGACACCTATTCCTGGCACTTCTCCACTGTGACAAAAAACAAATAGGGTAGGTAAACCACTACCACTTAGTGCCTTCAGGGATTGGCACTACCGGTATAGGTAAACCCACCTGGTACCTAATGGAGGCTCCAAGGGTCTCCAGGGGCCTAACCACAAAATTGTATAAAGAAAAAAGATGAAACATACAGAGAGAAACAGCTGCAAAGAGCAGGTGTATCCAGCTGCATGAATCTGGAGCTAAATAAAGTAGTCTCACAAGCAAATATAAATAAATAAATAAAAAATATATATTATGTAAAAAATATATATATATAAATCTCCTTATGATGATACAGCTAGAATATAGATAGACTGATAGTGTCCCGTATCCCTAATATGTAGTATGCATATATATAGACCAAAATGAAACAAAAAAATTAGCTTTAATAGATCTTGCTCAAATGTGTCCTCAAAAATATCAAATAGCTCAAACTAACAAACAAGGGATGCAATAACCAAAAGATAACCACTAGAAAAATCCTCTAAACAATAGTATCAAATACCTAAGAAGGGAAATCCTAAATCAGGTATATAGTATGGACTGATATAAAAATATCCAAAATGTAAATCTGTACAGGTGGTAGGAGGATATAGATATCGTGGAGCTTAGAGTGCCCACGGCATATCTATTCGACAGAGCAAGAAAAATGAAAGTAAATATGTAGAGGGAAAATAGCAGAGAGTTGCTAAACAGACTGTGTAGCAGGCTGTGTAGCCGTCAAAATAGCAACATAGTATCCAATGCCCTAGCTTACATATATTTATCAGGCTCAAGTAGTGGTAAAACAAACCATATCTACATATTAATAAGTCTATCTATTGATACAATAGGTGTCAACAAAGCCTTACAGTGCCATAAAGTGAAATATGTGGGCAAACCAGTGATGTCCGAAAAAACGGACAGTGAAAACGCCTGACGCGCGTTTCAGTGCTCTTACTAGCACCTTCGTCAGAGGCCTCCACTGTGACACTGAGTGGAGCCTCGGTGGTCACTATCCTATTTAGTTGAGCAACACTATCATATCACCTTAAATTATAATGATCCCCCAAATGTCACTAAGCTTGTTTATTACTCGTTATACTGTCGAGCACGCTAACTCTTTATGAAACTACATTGACA